TGCACATTTAGAACAATGGGATATATGAATAAATACACAGCCCATCGCATTTCCAGTATCATCGCATCCTGAACAATGTAAAGGAGAATAAATATCCAACAGGAAAACATAAGTTGGGGTGTAGTGCTGACTGACTGTTCTGTTCTTCTATTGGCTGTTATTTGGTGGGTTTATTTTATTCCACCAATCACAGTTAATAAGGGATTTCTGGACGTATGCAATATGTACGTCACCACGACCAAAAGCTATAGGGTTCCTGGGAGGGGGCGCCTCTGTCATGGCCCCTGGGAGGGCCCCGGGGGCATCGCTGCTCCTAGGGAAAGCCCCTGGGGGCACTGCTACCCATACAAAGAGCGCCTAGGGGCATCGTTATCCTTTGACAGGCCTCTCAGGGTGTAATCAGTCCTGAGAGGCCCACTGAGGACGCCGCTGCAGCTGGGAGGTCCCCTGTGGGCGCTACCTCCCCTGGGAGAGCTCCTAAGTACACCATCATCCTTGGGAGGGCCCCTGGGGGCACCATTGCACCAGAGGGGTACCCTGGGAGCGCCGCTACCTCTGGGAATTCCCCTGGGGGCGCCATCGCCCCTAAGTGGTCTCCTGAGGGTGCAGTTTCTCTTGGGAGGGCCCCGCAGGGCTCTGTGGCCCCTGGGATAGCCTTGGGAACCAAGGGTGCCCTTAGGTGGGTCCCGGGGGCGCAACCGCCTCTGGGAGGGTCTGTGGGGGCGCCATCATCCTTGGTAGGGCCACTGGGGGCACCAGAAGTTCTGACAGGGCCCCTTGCAGTTCCCCTGGCAGCGTCTACACCCCTGGGAGAGCCCCTCAAGCCGTCGCATATGGTAGGGCAAATGGGAAGGCCCCAGGTAGAACTGTCACTGTAGGGCCACTGGGGCACCAGAAGTTCTGACAGGGCCCCTTGCAGGTCCCCTGGCAGCGTCTACACCCTTGGGAGAGCCCCTCAAGCCGTCGCATATGGTAGGGCAAATGGGAAGGCCCCAGGTAGAACTGTCACTGCAGGGACCCTGGGGGCAGCTGTTCATGCTCATTTAGAACAATGGGATATATGAATAGATACACCGCCCATTGCATTTCCAGTATCATCGCAAGAAAAACAATGTAAAGGAGAATAAATATCCAACAGGAAAACATAAATTAGGGTGTTGTGCTGACTGACTGTTCTTCTCTCCTATTGGCTGTTATTTGGTGGGCTTACATTTTATTCCACCAATCACAGTTAAGTAAGGGATTGCTGGACGTATGCAATATGTACGTCACCACGACCAAAAGCTATAGGGTTCATGGGAAAGGGCACGTCTGTTAGGGCCCCTGGGAGGGCCCCTGGGGCATCGCTGCTCCTAAAGAGAGCCCCTGGGGGCGCTGCTGCTCATACAAAGAGCCCCTGGGGGCGTCGTTACCCTTTGACAGGCCTCTCAGGGTGTAACCAGTCCTGAGAGGCCCACTGAGGATGCCGCTGCAGCTGGGAGGACCCCTGTGGGCGCCACCTCCCCTCGGAGAGCCACTAAGTATGCCACCATCCTTGGGAGGGCCCCTGGGGGCACCATTACCCCTGAGTGGTCCCCTGGGAGCGCCGCTGCCTCTGGGAATTCCCCTGGGAGCGCCGTCGCCCCTAAGTGGGCTACTGAGGGTGCAGTTTCCCCTGGGAGGGCCCCGGAGGGCTCCATCGCCCCTGGGACAGCCTTTGAAGGCGACGTCGCCCTTAGGAGGGTCCCTGGGGGCGCAACCGCCTCTGGGAGCGCCTGTGACGGCGCCACAATCATTGGTAGGGCCACTGGGGGCACCACAGCCCCTGACAGGAGCCTTATGTAGTACCTGGGGAGCACCTTAACTCCCCTCCCGGAGAGTACCCTGAAACCGTCGCATATGGTGGGGCAAATGAGAGAGGACCCCAGGTAGAACTGTCACTATCACCGGACCCTGAGAGCCAGCTGTTCATACACATTTAGAACAATGGGATATATGAATAGATACACCGCCCATTGCATTTCCAGTATCATCGCATGAAAAACAATGTAAAGGAGAATAAATATCCAACAGGAAAACATAAATTAGGGTGTTGTGCTGACTGACTGTTCTTCTCTCCTATTGGCTGTTATTTGGTGGGTTTACATTTTATTCCACCAATCACAGTTAAGTAAGGGATTTCTGGACGTATGCAATATGTACGTCACCACGACCAAAAGCTATAGGGTTCCTGGGAGGGGGCGCCTCTGTCATGGCCCCTGGGAGGGCCCCGGGGGCATCGCTGCTCCTAGGGAAAGCCCCTGGGGGCACTGTTACCCATACAAAGAGCGCCTAGGGGCATCGTTATCCTTTGACAGGCCTCTCAGGGTGTAATCAGTCCTGAGAGGCCCACTGAGGACGCCGCTGCAGCTGGGAGGTCCCCTGTGGGCGCTACCTCCCCTGGGAGAGCTCCTAAGTACACCATCATCCTTGGGAGGGCCCCTGGGGGCACCATTGCACCAGAGGGGTACCCTGGGAGCGCCGCTACCTCTGGGAATTCCCCTGGGGGCGCCATCGCCCTAAAATGGTCTCCTGAGGGTGCAGTTTCTCTTGGGAGGAGGGGCACTTAGTCTGTGGCCCTAAGGATAGCCTTGAGGAACCAAGAGATTGCCCTTAAGGAGGGTCCCGGGGCGCAACCGCCTCTGGGGAGGGTCTGTGGGGAGACGCCATCATCATGGTAGGGCCTGGGGGCACCAGAAGTTCTGACAGGGCCCTGCAGTTCCCCTGGCAGCGTCTGCACCCTGGGAGGCCCCTCAAGCACGTGTTCATATGTGTGGTAGAGACTATGGGAAGGCCCCAGGTAGAACTGTCACTGTAGGGCCACTGGGGGCACCAGAAGTTCTGACAGGGCCCCTTGCAGGTCCCCTGGCAGCGTCTACACCCCTGGGAGAGCCCCTCAAGCCGTCGCATATGGTAGGGCAAATGGGAAGGCCCCAGGTAGAACTGTCACTGTAGGGACCCTGAAGGCAGCTGTTCATGCACATTTAGAACAATGGGATATATGAATAGATACACCGCCCATTGCATTTCCAGTATCATCGCAAGAAAAACAATGTAAAGGAGAATAAATATCCAACAGGAAAACATAAATTATGGTGTTGTGCTGACTGACTGTTCTTCTCTCCTATTGGCTGTTATTTGGTGGGTTTACATTTTCTTCCACCAATCACAGTTAAGTAAGGGATTTCTGGACGTATGCAATATGTACGACACCACAACCAAAAGCTATAGGGTTCATGGGAAAGGGCACATCTGTTAGGGCCCCTGGGAGGGCCCCTGGGGCATCGCTGCTCGTAAGGAGAGCCCCTGGGGTCGCTGCTGCCCATACAAAGAGCCCATGGGGGCGTCTTTACCCCTTGACAGGCCTCTCAGGGTGTAACCAGTCCTGAGAGGTCCACTGAGGACGCGGCTGCAGCTGGGAGGGCCTCTGTGGGCGCCACCTCCCCTGGGAGAGCCCCTAAGTACGCCACCATCCTTGGGTTAGCCCTTGGGGGCACCGTTACTCCTGGGTGGTGCCCTGGGAGCGCCGCTACCTCTGGGAATTCCCCTGGGGGCGGCGTCGCCCCGAAGTGGGCTCCTTTGGGCGCAGTTTCCCCAGGGAGGGCCCCAGAGGGCTCCGTCGCCTCTGGGATAGAATTTGGGGGCGAGGTAGCCCTTAGGAGGGTCCTTTGGGGAGCAACCGCCTCTGGGAGGGTCTGTGACGGCGCCACCATCCTTGGTAGGGCCACTGGGGGAACCACAGCCCCTGACAGGGCCCCTTGTAAGTACCCTGGGAGCACCAACTCCCCTCGGAGAGCCCCTGAAGCCGTCGCATATGGTAGGGCAAATGGGAAGGCCCCAGGTAGAACTGTCACTATACGGACCCTGGGGGCAGCTGTTCATGCACATTTAGAACAATGGGATATATGAATAGATACACCGCCCATTGCATTTCCAGTATCATCGCATGAAAAACAATGTAAAGGAGAATAAATATCCAACAGGAAAACATAAATTAGGGTGTTGTGCTGACTGACTGTTCTTCTCTCCTATTGGCTGTTATTTGGTGGGTTTACATTTTATTCCACCAATCACAGTTAAGTAAGGGATTTCTGGACGTATGCAATATGTACGTCACCACGACCAAAAGCTATAGGGTTCCTGGGAGGGGGCGCCTCTGTCATGGCCCCTGGGAGGGCCCCGGGGGCATCGCTGCTCCTAGGGAAAGCCCCTGGGGGCACTGCTACCCATACAAAGAGCGCCTAGGGGCATCGTTATCCTTTGACAGGCCTCTCAGGGTGTAATCAGTCCTGAGAGGCCCACTGAGGACGCCGCTGCAGCTGGGAGGTCCCCTGTGGGCGCTACCTCCCTGGGAGAGCTCCTAAGTACACCATCATCTTGGGAGGGCCCCTGGGGGCACCATTGCACCAGAGGGGTACCCTGGGAGCGCCGCTACCTCTGGGAATTCCCCTGGGGGCGCCATCGCCCCTAAGTGGTCTCCTGAGGGTGCAGTTTCTCTTGGGAGGGCCCCGCAGGGCTCTGTGGCCCCTGGGATAGCCTTGGGAACCAAGGGTGCCCTTAGGTGGGTCCCGGGGGCGCAACCGCCTCTGGGAGGGTCTGTGGGGGCGCCATCATCCTTGGTAGGGCCACTGGGGGCACCAGAAGTTCTGACAGGGCCCCTTGCAGTTCCCCTGGCAGCGTCTACACCCCTGGGAGAGCCCCTCAAGCCGTCGCATATGGTAGGGCAAATGGGAAGGCCCCAGGTAGTACTGTCACTGTAGGGACCCTGGGGGCAGCTGTTCATGCTCATTTAGAACAATGGGATATATGAATAGATATACCGCCCATTGCATTTCCAGTATCATCGCATGAAAAACAATGTAAAGGAGAATAAATATCCAACAGGAAAACATAAATAAGGGTGTTGTGCTGACTGAGTGTTCTTCTCTCCTATTGGTTGTTATTTGGTGGGTTTACATTTTCTTCCACCAATCACAGTTCAGTAAGGGATTCCTGGACGTATGCATTATGTACGTCACCACGACCAAAAGCTATAGGGTTCCTGGGAGGGGGCGCCTCTCTCATGGCCCCTGGGAGGGCCCCGGGGGCATCGCTGCTCCTAGGGAAAGCCCCTGGGGGCACTGCTACCCATACAAAGAGCGCCTAGGGGCATCGTTACCCTTTGACAGGCCTCTCAGGGTGTAATCAGTCCTGAGAGGTCCACTGAGGACGCCGCTGCAGCTGGGAGGGCCCCTGTGGGCGCCACCTCCCCTGGGAGAGCCCCTAAGTACACCACCATCCTTGGGAGGGCCCCTGGGGGCACCTTTACCCCTGGGTGGTGCCCTGGGAGCGCCGCTACCTCTGGAAATTCCCTGGGGGTGCCGTCCCCCCTAAGTGGGCTCCTGCAGACACAGTTTCCCCTGGGAGAGCCTCAGAGGGCTCCGTCGCCCCTGGGATAGCCTTGGCGGCGAGGTCGCCCTTAGGAGGGTCCCTTGGGGCGCAACCGCCTCTGGGAGGGTCTGTGACGGCGCTACCATCATTTGTAAGGCCACTGGGGGAACCACAGCCCCTGACAGGGCCCCTTATAAGTCCCCTGGGAGCGCCAACACCCCTGGAAAAGCCACTAAAGCCGTCGCAGATGGTAGGGCAAATGGGAAGGCCCCAGGGAGGACTGTCACTGTACGGACCCTGAAGGCAGCTGTTCACGCACATTTAGAACAATGGGATATATGAATAGAGACACAGCCCATTGCATTTCCAGTATCATCGCAAGAAAAACAATGTAAAGGAGAATAAATATCCAACAGGAAAACATAAATTAGGGTGTTGTGCTGACTGACTGTTCTTCTCTCCTATTGGCTGTTATTTGGAGGGCTTACATTTTATTCCACCAATCACAGTTCAGTAAGGGATTGCTGGACGTATGCAATATGTACGTCACGACGACCAAAAGCTGTAGGGTTCCTGGGAGGGGGCGCCTCTGTTAGGGCCCCTGGGGCATTGCTGCGTCTAAGGTGAGCCCCTGGGGGCGCTGCTGCCCATACAATCAGCCCCTGGGGGCGTCGTTACCCCTTGACAGGCCTATCAGGGTGTAACCAGTCCTGAGAGGTCCACTAAGGACGCCGCTGCAGCTAGAAGGGCCCCTGTGGGCGCCACAACCCCTGGGAGAGCTCCTAAGTACACCATCATCCTTGGGAGGGCCCCTGGGGGCACCATTGCACCAAAGGGGTACCTTGGGAGCCCCGCTACCTCTGGGAATTCCCCTGGGGGCGCCATCGCCCCTAAATGGTCTCCTGAGGGTGCAGTTTCTCTTGGGAGGGCCCCGCAGGGCTCTGTGGCCCCTGGGATAGCCTTGGGAACCAAGGGTGCCCTTAGGAGGGTCCCGGGGGCGCAACCGCCTCTGGGAGGGTCTGTGGGGGCGCCATCATCCTTGGTAGGGCCACTGGGGGCACCAGAAGTTCTGACAGGGCCCCTTGCAGTTCCCCTGGCAGCGTCTACACCCCTGGGAGAGCCCCTCAAGCCGTCGCATATGGTAGGGCAAATGGGAAGGCCCCAGGGAGGACTGTCACTGTACGGACCCTGAAGGCAGCTGTTCACGCACATTTAGAACAATGGGATATATGAATAGAGACACAGCCCATTGCATTTCCAGTATCATCGCAAGAAAAACAATGTAAAGGAGAATAAATATCCAACAGGAAAACATAAATTAGGGTGTTGTGCTGACTGACTGTTCTTCTCTCCTATTGGCTGTTTTTTGGTGGGCTTACATTATATTCCACCAATCACAGTTCAGTAAGGGATTGCTGGACGTATGCAATATGTACGTCACCACGACCAAAAGCTATAGGGTTCCTGGGAGGGGGCGCCTCTGTTTGGGCCCCTGGGGCATTGCTGCGGCTAAGGAGTGCCCCTGGGGGCGCTGCTGCCCATACAATCAGCCCCTGGGGGCGTCGTTACCTCTTGACAGGCTTCTCTGGGTGTAACCAGTCCTGAGAGGTCCACTGAGGATGCCGCTGCAGCTGGGAGGGCCTCTGTGGGTGCCACCTTCCCTGGGAGAGCCCCTAATACGCCACCATCCTTGGGTTAGCCCTTGGGGGCACCGATACTCCTGGGTGGTGCCCTGGGAGCGCCGCTACCTCTGGGAATTCCCCTGGGGGCGCCGTCGCCCCGAAGTGGGCTCCTGGGGGCGCAGTTTCCCCAGGGAGGGCCCCAGAGGGCTCCCTCGCCTCTGGGATAGAGTTTGGGGGCGAGGTAGCCCTTAGGAGGGTCCTTTGGGGAGCAACCGCCTCTGAGAGGGTCTGTGACGGCGCCACCATCCTTGGTAGGGCCACTGGGGGAACCACAGCCCCTGACAGGGCCCCTTGTAAGTACCCTGGGAGCACCAACTCCCCTCGGAGAGCCCCTGAAGCCGTCGCATATGGTAGGGCAAATGGGAAGGCCCCAGGGGGAACTGTCACTTTAGGGACCCTGAAGGCAGCTGTTCATGCTCATTTAGAACAATGGGATATATGAATAGATACACCGCCCATTGCATTTCCAGTATCATCGCATGAAAAACAATGTAAAGGAGAATAAATATCCAACAGGAAAACATAAATTAGGGTGTTGTGCTGACTGACTGTTCTTTTCTCCTATTGGCTGTTATTTGGTGGGCTTACATTTTATTCCACCAATCACAGTTCAGTAAGGGATTGCTGGACGTATGCAATATATACGTCACCACGACCAAAAGCTATAGGGTTCCTGGGAGGGGGCGCCTCTGTTAGGGCCCCTGGGGCATTGCTGCGTCTAAGGAGAGACCCGGGGGGCGCTGCTGCCCATACAATCAGCCCCTGGGGGCGTCGTTACCCCTTGACAGGCTTCTCTGGGTGTAACCAGTCCTGAGAGGTCCACTGAGGACGCCGCTGCAGCTGGGAGGGCCCCTGTGGGCGCCACCTCCCCTGGGAGAGTCCCTAAGTACGCCACCATCCTTGGGATGGCACCTGGGGGCACCGTTACCCCTGGGTGGTGCCCTGGGAGCGCCGCTACCTCTGGAAATTCCCTGGGGGTGCCGTCCTCCCTAAGTGGGCTCCTGCAGACACAGTTTCCCCTGGGAGAGCCTCAGAGGGCTCCGTCGCCCCTGGGATAGCCTTGGCGGCGAGGTAGCCCTTAGGAGGGTCCCTTGGGACGCAACCGCCTCTGGGAGGGTCTGTGACGGCGCTATCATCATTGATAAGGCCACTGGGGGAACCACAGCCCCTGACAGGGCCCCTTGTAAGTCCCCTAGGAGCGCCAACACCCCTGGAAAAGCCACTAAAGCCGTCGCAGATGGTAGGGCAAATGGGAAGGCCCCAGGGAGGACTGTCACTGTACGGACCCTGGGGGCAGCTGTTCATGCACATTTAGAACAATGGGATATATGAATAGATACACGGCCCATTGCATTTCCAGTATCATCGCAAGAAAAACAATGTAAAGGAGAATAAATATCCAACAGGAAAACATAAATTAGGGTGTTGTGCTGACTGACTGTTCTTCTCTCCTATTGGCTGTTATTTGGTGGGCTTACATTTTATTCCACCAATCACAGTTCAGTAAGGGATTGCTGGACGTATGCAATATATACGTCACCACGACCAAAAGCTTTAGGGTTCCTGGGAGGGGGCGCCTCTGTTAGGGCCCCTGGGGCATTGCTGCGTCTTAGGAGAGCCCCTGGGGGCGCTGCTGCCCATACAATTAGCCCCTGGGGGCGTCGTTACCTCTTGACAGGCTTCTCTGGGTGTAACCAGTCCTGAGAGGTCCACTGAGGACGCCGCTGCAGCTGGGAGGGCCCCTGTGGGCGCCACCTCCCCTGGGAGAGCCCCTAAGTACGCCACCATCCTTGGGAGGGCCCCTGGGGGCACCGTTACCCCTGGGTGGTGCCCTGGGAGCGCCGCTACCTTTGGAAATACCCTGGGGGTGCCGTCCCCCCTAAGTGGGCTCCTGCAGACACAGTTTCCCCTGGGAGAGCCTCAGAGGGCTCCGTCGTCCCTGGGATAGCCTTGGCGGCGAGGTCGCCCTTAGGAGGGTCCCTTGGGGCGCAAACGCCTCTGGAAGGGTCTGTGACGGCGCTACCATCATTGGTAAGGCCACTGGAGGAACCACAGCCCCTGACAGGGCCCCTTATAAGTCCCCTGGGAGCGCCAACACCCCTGGAAAAGCCACTAAAGCCGTCGCAGATGGTAGGGCAAATGGGAAGGCCCCAGGTAGAACTGTCACTGTACGGACCCAGAAGGCAGCTGTTCATGCAC